TGAAAGATCATTTTATTCTGCAGTGAAACACAAAGTTTATGTCTCTATGTCACAAATGTATTTACAACACTTCTTGAATCCGTTTCAAAGTAAAAGCACTCCAGCGTTTCACTTCTGAATCCATTCATTTGTTCTAACAGGGCTTTGATTGTTGTCAACAGACCAGAAGATGCAGGACTTCATACCGTAGAGTCCTGACATTTAGATAAACCTGCTGCTCTGCCGCCAGTGGCGGACACACAGCGGGTATGAACAACAGACAACTGACCCACAGCTGGTCTGCCACACAACCGCAGACTGTGAGTCCAGAAAGTTACAGAGATCGACGGTGAAGACTGACGAGATTGCGATCGACGGGTTGGCAACCACTGCTCTATAGTATACACAATAAATGGCGGGAAGCGTAGCAACACTAACTGGTAGCAGAGACTACGATCTGGCAGCGTAGAGGTGGTCAGGAGGAATATATCTAGATCAGGGGTTCCCAACCTTTTCCAACTCAGCGCCCACTTGAAAATCACAAAAATGTTTGCGGCTCACCTCCATCCCAATAAACAATACAGAGGCCAAATAATGCGTTCTCAGACCACTTTTTTTATTTTGATGAGAAATATGGAACATGGACTGAACTGAAAGCAAATGGAACATGCAGGAAGATCCACAGTGCAGGGAGCACTTGTTGAAGTGTAATGTTAAATACAAGAACCACAGCGCAATTTTATGTTTTGTCTTGTTGTATATTGGGGTAGCGATGATGTGAAGATGATGAAGGGATCTCAGATGACACCGTCTTGATTGTATAAAAGGTTTATTACAAAAAGTTCAGCATCAATACAAGCACTGCAGTCTGCCTGGAGAGAGATTTGGGGCCAATGTGAATTTCTGCTCCCTGTTTATATATGAGAGTTGTTGTAAACCTAAAGAAAACACATCTGGCTCTCCTCCAGCCCTCCTCATCTGCCTGGTGGGAGGGAAAGGCACCAGCTCAGATTTAGAGTGACCATTAGAGCCGTGACCTAATGCTCTAACGTATACGTTCAGTTTTCCTCTGAAAGCCTAAACTTATGGACCTCCGAATCCTCAGGACCTATGGGCTTCAGACCCATAGATCAACTTCCTTCAAAAAGAACACAACACATGGCATTTCAGACACCACACTCTCAAGTGAACAGACAGAGACAATAACACAAGGGCACAATAACTTCAGACCTGACAGCAGAGCTCTATGTGAAATAAATGCAGTTCAGAAATACATTAATATTGAATTGCTCATACTGTCAACCACACACTCACACACACACATCAAACACCTCCTAATCACCCTGAATAAAACTATTTAAATAGCCTACAAGCGAAAGCAATAATTGCAATGAAACTAAATTAGAACATTGTAGCTACTCCACTCAGGATTTTTATAAAGCTGCGGTGCAATAGGCCAACATGTTGACTCGCCTAATGTGACAGCTGCTGTTGCATGACGGGTGCTCAAATGTGGGAAAGAGGAGCGGAGAGACTGGGCTGGAGTATAAAGTGACTGTGGCGCATCAGGACCGCGGAAGTCAGTCGGAGCGGGCCGACAATCTGTATCCCAGGCCAGCTGCTTAAGTGTGGGTGAGAGGAGCAGAGGGATAGGGCTGTGTGACTGTGGCGCACCAGGACCGCGGTGGTCAGGTGTGGCGGCCCGACAACCCCACACTGTGTAGCCTATCCCAGGACAGGTGCAAGTGTGGGTGAGAGGTGCGAGAGACTGGCCATGGTAACGTATAGTTACCTGGGCATGTAAGAAATATAAAATTACTATTTGAGAAATTATAATACATGTTACATTACTCCGTTAATAGCCTATTGCTCACGGGAAAAACAAAA